AAAACGAGACTAGTTGTTTAAGTGCAACGACAACCTTAATTATTAACTATATTATTTATCCAACCCCGTGGTGTAAATAATATAATTAAATAATTAAATTATCTCGAAAAACTTCAATCTAGGACAAGGTAAAAGAAGTTTAACGATGTGTTCAGAAAGTGTTCATTTATGTATTTAACAGACAATATGTTTATGATTGAGTACTCATAATATATATCACAAACACAACATAATTAGTTTTCTGGACACAACAATCTAAATAGAACAAACTTAACAATTAAGATTAATACAAATTAAAACATGATAAGAACAATTGATTAACCAATTTCTAGCCCCAAATTTATTTAGCTATACGTGTTGGGAAGCATAGAAATAGATGAATTCATGACTAAAGTACAAGATTTAATGAGATAAGGAAGATCAAACTTATGCTAGATGACAATCCTTAGAGCTTTGATGCTAATCTGGACTTAATCTTGGATGAGAAAGTGATTAATTGTGGTTGAAGATGGGTTGATGATTTAGGGTTGAGAAATGAAGAGAGAAGGAAGAGGAAATATTTCTGGGAGGTGTAGAGAGATAATGGTTCGAAGTTATGTGTGGTGGAAGAAGGATTAAGGCAATATAATGATAAGGTGATTAATGATTAATTGCTGGAATTTACGGAACAAATAAGTTTATGTACAGAAAAGCGCAGTAATGTTCCAACATTGTACAATAGTGCAACGGTGACGGGTGTTTATTCCAAATCTGAAGTCGCGGGTTCTAAACCAGTCATCTTCCTTTTATTCTTTTTTTCAGTGCTGGGCTTAAACAATGTATAAGAAATTCCAACAAAAAAACTTCAACTTGGTTCATTTAGCTCATTGGTTGAATATGTTCTTCTTTGCCAAAATGACCAGAGCTCGAATCTCATCTCCACCTTTCTTAGTTTTTGCTATTTTTCTCCAATTTACTACTTATTTGCTTTAAAAGAAATTCCACTTTTGTTATCCTCCAACATGAACTTTTATTTGCTTCATTTCTTCATGCCAAATGTATCCAAATAACATCAAAAGTACCTGAAAATACAAAATACACGCATAAGAGCGCACTAATAAGAATTAACGACAAATAATAAAAATATGTACAAAAGTATAACTTTAATAACTAAAATTATCAACAAACTAAGCCTAAAAGTAAAACTAAAGCGGCGGACTCTTCCCTCTTCGTAGGGTTTGGCAATTCCGCCGATCTGGTGCGGCTCGTGCAAGGCGAACGGAAGCAGAGGATAGAAGATGGTGACGAACGGCTCGAATCAGCAGGTAATCGGCGGCCAGCATGAAGCGAAGGAGGAGTGCCCAGGCGAGAAGTATGTGGGACAAGGAGAGTTGCACGAGATTCGAATAGGCCAGATTTCGATCGACAATGGAGGTGCAATTAGAGTGGTACCAATGATACAGCCTCCTCCTGAACCACCGCTATGGGTTGTACGAGGTGCTAGAGTCCGTGAAAATTTTCGTCTTAGTTATTATTATTATTTTGTCATTTGGTTTCTTATTATCATTTTGGTTGTTAGGTCTATCGGTTTGTTTAGGATGTTAGCTTCTTTTATCTTTGTCAAGACTCTAGAACCTAGGTCAGGTGATGGAGAACTTAGTTTACTAGTCATTGGCTCAAGTACGCCCAATTTAGGATCAACGAATCTGGGTGCTTCATTAGAGGTGACATATTCTAAGTCTGGTTCAAGGACAGACGGTAGACTATGGATTATTTCTCTGTTTGTACCCTGCGTACGTTCTTTCTTATTAATATAAGCCACCTGCTTTCGAAAAACAAACTAAGCCTAAAAAGTGTGTAAAATATAAGCACATCAAGCATTCACCAGAGCTGAAAATTATAGACGTCAAGTGAAAGAGTATCATGATGTTAAGGTCAGATACATACTGTTTGATGTTGAGAACTTAGTCCTCAGAAGGAGAACTTCTAGCTGACCTCTAGAAGGGGAAAGTTTGACAAGAACTGGGATGGGCCTTATAGAATCAAAGGGAAAAGAGACAAATAGGCCCTCGAACTAACTTAAAAAGTACTCCCTCTGTCCCATTAGAAGGTTCTCACTTTCCTCTTTTGAACGTCCCATTAGAAGGTTCACATTTCCATTTTAGGAAACAATTAACAATTTTAAGTGTCAAATTAATCATTAGGTATTAAAAATAATACATTTATAACATCAGGGTTATCAATAATACTAACTACATTACAACATATATCTATTAAAATTATTTCTCAAAATATACTCGAAGTATTTTATTTAATTATTGCCTAAACAACTGTGTCATTTTGCTATGGGAACCTTCTAACGGGACGAAGGTAGTACAAATCACCCCTTTATATAGGAGGCTCTATCTGTCCGTCGCCGTTTGAGGAGGCCCTGGTGGATTTTTTTGATAATTTTTTTTTGAGAATCTTCTTCATTAAGTATAGTTTACCCATATCAAATTCCAGATAAAATTTCAATCGGGAAGACAGTCAAATGATTTTCTGAAATGCACAGCGTTGTTTAACTGCGCAGTTATATTCAAAAATTCATTTGACTGTCTTCCCATTGAATTTTTAGCTGAAATTTGGAATGAGTAAACTAGACTTAATGAAGAAGATGCAAAAAAAAATCATCAAAAGTTTCACCGGGAACCAACCCAAATGACGACGGACGAACAGAGTCTCCTATATAAGTAGGGGTGATTTAATTGCTCTTGGGCTGCAAAATTAATTGTTCCGACGAGGGAGTTGAGTCAGCCTGGAGGCCGTTCCTAAATTGGGAGCATAGTAACTAAGGTGACGAACTACCCTCAGGCTATCAAACCCCCAGAAAAACCAGAGATATGGCTGGAAGAGAACCCCAAGTCAAAGAACACAGTAAAAGCAGCAATCAAGATTAATAAATTAATTACCATTTGGAGGAGCTGAGGGGCAAGAGCTTCCGGAGCAGGGCCACCCTGGGGGGCTTCTGGATTGAGCTGAGCGGAGAAGGAAGGGTTCCGCTCGCTCTTTCAGAGCTTGATAGACAGGTTGCTGCATAGCGAATCGTCCTAATTCGTAACATAGGGCGGGGCCCCTTCATCGCCCAGCCTAGTCTGGGGTCAGCAACCGCAATTTCAGCTCGATGGGCGATCATGACTTTCTCCACCCTGACCTTAAAGGCCTGAACGGAAGTAGCAGCTCCGGCCTCCTCCACCTTCTTTCTCAGGTCCTCTATGGCCTTGTGAGCAACCTCAGCATCACGAGCTTCTTCTGCAACTCTCTACCTTCTTTCACAGCAGTGACCCTAACGGTCTCCAGGTTTGTCACCTGGACATTTATTTTACACATTATACTCATTTTAGTACGTGTAACGAAGTACTCATTCCAATACTACTTACGAATTAATTAAACATATTACACTTTAAATTAATAAAATTAGTTATATTTACTAATTTTTATAGAAAAAAATAAATTTTGGAAAGCATAGATGAACCATTTCAAAATTCTTTAAACATCAAATTTAATTTAATGCATAACAAAAAAACATTTATAATTTGATAAAATCGTAAATGTAGAGAAACCTAATCATAACAAGAAGTCAAGAACTATTATGAAAAAAATATGCAACAAATTGTATACAAGTGCAACAATAATAAGATATTCCATCAAAAAATAACTTAACATTCACTTTGGAATTTTTCGAATAGCTAGTGTGCATTCATATTATGAGTCAATATAGAAAAATCGAAACATTACTAATGAGAGGAAGATATATGTTTTAGATCAAATTGTATCCCATTTTGAATACGAAAGATTCAACTTAGATACTCCATATGAGTTATAGGGATTGTGGATATAAAAGAAAAAAAAAAGAAAAGAAAAATGAGATACGTGTGTGGGATTTGCGTAGGAATGATCGATTGCATAGGGAGCTGAGTTAGTTAAAAAGTACTCCCTTCCCGATTTTACCTTTTCGGAAAATTCTACTAAGATTGTCTCATACTATATTTGGTAAAATTTGTATTACTCTTAATCATTCTTACTTTATCAATTCATTATCAAGCACATAAACATACTTTTCTTAATAACCGTGTCACTTCTTCCGTTCCAATGTTAGTGGAACGAAGGTAGTACTTCGTATTAAATGTGTTCAAAGTTGATGAAAATTACAAAATTATCTGGATCTATGGCATACACCCAGGTATATTCTATCGTACATTTATGAGGTGTTTTGGTACATTCTATTTTTTTAACCAATGAGATCATATCGTAATGCGACGTCTATCCTCCGTTAATAAGCATAAGAGTTTCCTTATTTGCAATTTATTTAATCGCAATATCAGTTCGAAAAAGAATGGGGAAAAATCGTAAATGTTTGCCGCTTGGCAAGAAATTTTGGGAACTTTATTTTAAGGTGATTTTGGTAAGTTAGTACTCAAGATGTCAACAAAGCTCATATAGTTTCAATTAGAACCTCATATACTTGGGGAAGGGAAGCCCCTAAATTGATTTCGCATGCTAACCTGATCCAAAGCTCAAATTTGGAATTTTAAAAGTAGACCGCTCAATGGAACTCTATTTTTGCTTCTTTACTTTTGTTGTTGTTGTTTTATTTTACAGATTCATCCAATTAGATTTATTTTTAGAAAGTAGTCATTATTTATTTTGACAAAAATATTCCTTCATGCTAAAGTAATCTTTATTGTGACTGATTTCATGTCAATGACAATGACATAAGAATGTCGATCAAAAACATGACAATGTCATAATAATGTCAATGACAACATCATAAGAATGTCAATAGAAAACAGTATAAATTACAATGTCATAAGAATGTCAATGACAATGTCATAAAAATTTCAATAACAATGTCACAAGAATAACAATGAAAGTGGAACCAAACATTTATAAGAATAACAATGAAAGTGGAAACAAACATTTATAACAATGTCATAACATTAGGAGTAACACCCACAGAGAAGTATTAATTATCTTGATGGTATAAATTAAAGCTAAACGAAATGAATTGAATAAGTATTAATAAATAAATAATTAACATTATAATTTTACATAGTAATGGAGTATTACAATTCTGAAAAGGAAATTAGGAAATGCTCCTTAGAAAGAAACATTACGAAGCAAAACGAAAATAAGAAAAGCAGACAACAAAACATTGTGAAGCCAAACAAAATCAAGATGAAAATGGATCCGCCAAACAAAATCAAGAGAAACGGATCTGCCAAACAAAATCAAGTAGAAGATAGAGAAAAAGAATTGCGACAGAAGAAAAGAAGAGGAGAAAAGAAAGAGAGGAGGAGAGGAGGAAAAGGAGCAGATCTGCAAGATCTTCGCCATGACCTCCCGCCAAACCGTTGCACCGCCAGACTGCTGCAACGCCACATCTTCTCGATCTATCTTGCCACATCGACAACTCCTCCATTAATTTGTACGTCGCTGGACCTTGAAGACTTGAAGCTGTCCTGCTTAGCTATGGATGAAGGAGAGAGAGGGTTTGGTGAGGCTGTTGGGGAGAAATAAGGTTTGGCGTGAGAGCATAGAAAATAGGGGCAATTTTGGAAAAAACGGAAAAATTTAGTCCTATTTAGGAGTTAAAAACTCCTAGATCCTATTTAAGTATATACCGAAACTTCAAATGAACACATTTGAAGTTTTTTCGGTTCCTTATAAAATATTATTATTATCCTAAAATGAACCCATTTTACCTTCAATTACATAAGAAAATTCAAATTTTAAATCATGAAATTATGACCATTACATTATACATGCATGATATCTTAATGTTCAAATATAAAAAAAATGCAAGTGCAACATTAAATTTAAACTTAACAAAAATCTCGGTTTAAAATAGGCATCAACCGTCAAGCAAAAAGGTTCCATAGCTCCAAAGTACACATCCAATAGCAGATAGTTCAACCCCAAAATAATATATATTCTTCTACTAGTAATGCACAATAAGTAAAAAGTACGTAGTAATAAACAACGTAATTAATAGAATATTAATTCCTTTTTGAGGTTAACTCTAATACCAAATATACAATTACAAAAAACAATAAATATAAAAGTGGACTAAAGTATTAAAATAACAACTACTCGGATTGACGTGATCCACAATATATAAGGTACATTATGCAAAACAATTTTTTTTTTGACAAAAATTTTCTGCCCGGAACGCCGTCTGGCCACCTCCATTTGATGTGCTTCCATGTAGAAATTTTTGATAAACTTTTGTGAGCATGTTCTACATGAAATGTAGATTATATATACCAAGTTTTAGCTCAAAATGCAATCGGGAAGTGAGTTAAATAAAATATTGAAAAACATTGTGTTTTTATATATTTTTTGGTGTAATGCTTTTCAATGATTATTTTAACTGACTTCCCGGTTTCATTTTAAGCTCAAATTTGGTGGACATAATCATTATTTTATGAACAACAAGCTCACAAAATTTCATCAAAAAATTCCATCCAGAAGAACCTCAAATGAAGATTACTCATGCAATGTATAAGAAGTTCGGTTCCTGGCTAGGAACCAGAACCGAACTGGAACCGAACCGGAACCGAACCGATGAAATACTATAGGAACCGAACCGAAAAAGCTGAAGTCCAAAATTATAGGAACCGAACCGAACCGGAAATTTCGATTCGGTTCAGATCGGTTTTCACGGTTTTACGATTCCAAGTCCCAGCCCTAGAAACTTGTGGTCCTATTTGGAACCATTTCTCTAATGGAATTATGGAAATTATATACTTCGTATAATACTATTATTATATAATAGATCAACACTTTAAATGAAAAATAATCAATTATTTAAAACAACATATCTATAAAATCACAGTTATCATCAATGACTTCATTATATATATATATAATGAAGTGAAATGAGGGTTCCAGTAAGAACAACCTCTCAGGAGAGAAATGAGAATGAATCTAGACCGTTGGATTGTATCATGTGGAACTGAATTGTGCATTTGTTGAAATTGAAATGTGCATTAAATAATATTGAAATGTGAAGAATAAAAATTTAAACTCAAATGTGCATTAGATGAAACTTAAATGTGCGAAATAAAAGGTACAAAAATAACATTTCAATGTCAACTAATGCACAATTCAGCTTCACATAATGTCACTGCATCGTACCATTTGTGCTGCACATTTCAATTTCACCTAATGCACATTACAGTTTCATCTAATGCACATTTAATTTCACTTAAAGCAAATCTAACGGTCCAGATTCATTCTCATTTCTCTCCTAAGATCGTGTTCTTATTTGAACCAAAACACACACACACACACACACACACACACACATATATATATATATATATGGAGCAGATCAGATGTGAAGTGACTTAGGCTGAAAAACTGCGAAGCTAACTTATAGACTGAAAACAGGAACGTTTAACCAATAACTCATTACTTATAGACCCCACAAAATAATTACGAAAATGTCACCGCAAAAAGTAACTGCAGAAACCTTGAAATTTTTTTGACGCGGTGGCATTTTCATAATTATGATGGAGAGCTTTATAAGTTACGATTTATCGATTATAAGTTCATGTTTTCAATCTATAAGTTTACTGCGTTGTAAGATCACATGCAAATTCAAGGACTAGGATTACTTCTCACTTCTCATTTTAAGGGGAACTTCTCATCTGATCTTCTCTCTCTCTCTCTCTCTCTCTCTCTCTCTCTCTCTATATATATATATATATATATATATATATATATATATATTCATCAAAACTATTTCTCAAAACATTAAATAATCGTGAGTTTATAAATAATCGTTTAATTATATCTAAATATTAAATAATCGTGAGTTTGAAATCAAATTTGACCCAATGGTATAACCTTAAAAGGTCACATGTGTCAACAAGTTGGCTTGTTAATGTGAAAAACAAGATTAATAAGTCGGAAAATTGCATTTTTAATATATGAAATAGTCATCATATTGAAATATCAAACTCACATTTCTGAGATTGTAAATGTCACCCCTCAATTGTCCAAATTGTTGTAAATGTTGTCATTTGAAGGGTGAAATGTACTCCTCGCCCACATTATACATTTCACCCCTCAAACGATCACATTTGACTATTCATATTTTGAACAAGAGGTGTAAGACCCCACCACTTACACAATTAGAACGAACAAAGCACAAATATCATAAAAGAAAAACTACACTTGCAAGCATATTTGAGGCTGATCCGCTTCGGCCTGTAATACTGTTAACGAGCCGAGTCGAGTTCGAACACCCAGAGCTCAAGCTTGGCTCGATTCAGTAATAGGGGTGTTCGGGTTCGAGCTCGGCGAGCTTTACAAATAATAAGGCTCATGTTCGAACCGAGCGCTCAATAAGCTTGAAAAATATGCTCGAATTTAAAATTTTAGGTGATGCTCGCTTATAGGCTTGTGCTCGAATTATTCGACAAGTATTCAGTTCGTTAATAATCATATTTAAATTCATAAAGTCATGCTAATTATATTTAAACTTTGATATATATATATATATTATATTATATTTATAATTTCAGGGTGTTCAATAGGCTCAAGCTCGAACCAAGCCGAACACTATTATAGTATTATGTTCGAGCTCGGCTCGATTAAGTTTTCGAACTTAACACTCAGCTCGGGTTCGAGTTTGAAAGCTCGTTAAACTTGGCTCGTTAGATTCGAAACCAAGCTCGAACTCGAATAGTTCGATAAAAGCCCGGTTTGTTAATTGTTAACAGCCCTAGATACCGGTAATGCGGTAGAAGCACTGGAATTTTCAATCTTTTATTAATCCAAATTTATTGCCAATATATTTGTCATTGAATTTCATAAGTTTTTGCCACTTTTTATTCTATAACTACTCCGTATTATATTGGCGATATATTTGGTAGGTACTCGACGTTGAATTTTCTCACTTTTAGTCTTTGACTATTGTGCAAAAGACACTTTTGATACCAATTATTGAAAATTTCATATTTAATCCTCTGACTTTCATAAAAGTAACATTTTCGATCCTTTAACTATTGTAAACATTTTTAGTGCTCAACTTATTGTGACAAAATGATAATGGAAGGACTAGAAGTGTCAATTTGACAATACTCAAGGGACTAAATGTGGAAAATTTCAATGTTGAGAACTAAAAGTGTTCACTCTCACAACATATGAAGGGCTAAAAGTAGAAAATCTCAAAGTTGAGTACAAACTGTCACTCATACAATAGTTGGCAGAAGAAAAGTGGCACAATTTTTACCCCGAATCCAACCAAACCCAATCATTATTTTTCCTTAATAGTTAATATGTCATCAAAAGCTTAAAGTTGCCAAGCTTTCATCCTTAGCATTTGAAGCCTTGCTCTAACACTTACAAAAGTACAACGTTTGGCAGAGCAAAAACGTTTACAAAGAAGCTTGTTTGGAAGAGCAAAAAGTTGAATCATGGAATGCACCTCCCCTATATTTCCGGACCATCATGGCTTTCACACAGAAAATGGCATAAGCTTATGAATCTGAATCTTGCAGAGAAAAACTAAAACCTCATCTTACTTCTTTTGTATTTGTTTCAACAGGCCAGACAAAGAAGCGCAATGAGTTGACTTGTAATCACATTGCTCACAGCAGTTTCTAAGGGATTCAATGACTTTCACACATCTGTAGCATATTCAGTAGTTATTAGATCATCATCAATTCATCATCATTATCATTACCCCAGTGCCGCAAAGGCTCACACCTACGGTGGGGTAAGGAGGGTCGGATGTACGCAGTCTTACTCCTGTACTAAAGCACAGAGAGACTGCTTCCGGATGACCCATAGTGAAAATCGCGTCAAAAATTGCATGAACTGACTGTTGCTTCATAACAAAGAAGCGCAAACAGTTTAGTGAGCCCATTTGCTTTATTCCATCCTATTCCCAAACTAAAAAATAGTGAGTCTTTGGCTCCATTGCAAATGATGGAAACATTAAAGAGCATAGACACTTAATATTAAGTGTCAAGATAAGGTACTGTCAAATTGACACTCAGTATGGATGGAGGTTTTAATAGTCTTGGGGGGTGGATATCTGGAGAGGTAACTCTATATCTTGATTACCAATCTGCTCACTATTTGGAAAATGTTACAGATGAAGTGGACTCAAAGATACGATACAAAAATGCTCCAAAAAGGTTCATTCTTTAATGGCATTCCAAGTGTGCTAGCCACAAGATTACACCGACAAAGTGGGGCTATGTTTCAAAAATGACTCTACACCATGCCCAAGTGGTGTATACAAAACTGTACTAAATTTCCCAAGTTCCACTGATCCAAGATGCATGTGTCTTTGCTAATTGAGCATATGTTGTGGAGCTAACGTCCAAATTTGCAGTTACAAATCATGTATCCAGCTAATATTTCAAAATTTATTTTTAACCAAAATTGTAAACTTCATTCGATCAAATCAGTTTTTTTCTTTCTGAGAAGAAAGGAGCTGAAACAAACATGGACGTATTCTAGCATAGCTCAGCTGATTATTATGAGCTGATAATTTATGAGCTTCAAATATAGGCGCTGAAACAAACATGGACGTTTTCTATTCAGGAGCATATAAACACACTGTTTTCAAAAGAAGAAGAAGAAGAAGAATAAACAATTGAGATTGAATAAGTAATTTGGTTATAGCTTAAGAACAAATCGGCAGTAATTACTAGTAGAAACAGGGCAGCGATTATTGTCATTATAGAGAGAGCAAATGAAAAAATACAGCATCGCAAAATAGACGGAGATCGGAGAGGCAGATAAGTAAATTGAGTCAGGGGGCGAGCAAACCTCTGAGAGAGAAAATTGTTCTTGGAGAGGCAAGCCTGAATATCACAAGCCTGCTTCTTGCACGGTTCTTTGCTGGGTTGGGCCATTGCACCGCCTCAATCGCTCGGATTCTTCTTCGCGTAGGAGATCATTTGGGTGAAGAGGAGAGGACTAGAGAAGTACGTAGTACGTACAGCCGAAAAATAAAAATGCCATTTCGTGGATTTTTTATAAAAATTAGGAAAATTTGATTGAAATAATCCGAAAAATTAGGAAAATTTGATTGAAATAATCCGAACTTCTAATAATCCGTAGTACGCATTATTTCTGTTTAATCCCAACGTAGTGGGATGTCTTTCGTTATTACACTGTGACCGATTAACAAAAATGGGATTCGGTCATACCATCACGTGCACTGTGTATAATTAATAAACCTATTTCTTATTTATCAGATCTCGTCATCTCCTTATCTCGTTCATCTATCTTATTCTTCGCTTGTTTGTGGACCAGAGGACGTTGCCAATTGAAACAGAGATTCCGTGTATCATCTTCTTCGCTTGTTTGTGGAGCAGAGGACGTCGACAAATAGAATGGGTTCAACATCTTGGTCTCCTTCTTCGGCTAGAAGGGATGAAACCCAGATGAACTGTGCAGTTGAATACCACCACAAAGTGTGTCCGAAAGCTAGGACTGTAAAATCTGGGCCAAACCGCGGTCGAAGATTCTATGGATGTGCCTTCTGGCCAGTAAGTTAGAGTGATTCTTGAATGTTGTGATGATGTTGATGACAAGCTTAGTGAAAAGGAAATAGTGATGAACCAACTTCAGCAGGAAATAAAAGCTTTACAAGGGAAGATTGCAAAGTTGAAAAAGAAGAAAGAAAAGATGAGACCTAGAATTCAGGAGCTGCAGACATTAGTATGCAAGCATGCCAAAGGAGGGAAATATACATTTGTAGGTGTACTTGTTTCTTGGATTGTGTTTGCCATTGTGTTGTATGGGAAATCCAAGTGATAATTTAGACAGTGTTGATGATGACTTTCTTTGATAGTGTTGTGTAATTTTCTGTTTCATTTTGTGTTGTTTCATAACTGAAAGTGATGTAACTTTCTTTGTCTGTGTTGTGTAATTTTCCTTAATGACCTGTAGCTATTTTGAGATTAATTTGTGTGATGTGTGGTATTATAATGTTGGTTTGAATCTGAAGAAGGTTTAGTTCAAATGTATGGAACCTAATATGCAAATTGGTCTGCAAACTGGAATGACCAAACTTAAAAGAACAACTATAAGCAACCTCATGTGATATGCACACTGATATGCAAACTGATATCCAAACTTAAGACTTAAGACTTATATGCAAACTATAAAGGAACCTATTCATGAGGGTGGTACAGAAGGGAAATTGGTCAGGTTTAACTACCATCAAGCAGCATCAAACTCTTAAATATGCTATACTAATCATGCCCATAGATCCAAGAACTTCATCTGAGGTCAAAATTATAAAAACAAACTGAGCTGTAACCTACATCTCAGTATAAAAAGGAACCTGCATCTGAGTATACAAAGGAAACTGAAACATCTCAGTATATAAAGGAAACTGAAACATCTCAGTATATAATGGAACCTTAAACATCTGAGTATATAAAGGAACCTACATCTGATGTAAACTACATCTCAGTCCTACACAACAACCTATATTCTTCTAGCAAATACACTACAAATATCCATACACAAACCTGAAACACATCAAATATTTCAATTTACTCCAACACAAAGATGAAACCATGACCATTATCCATATAAATATCCATCATTATCCTTAAATCATAGTAACATGAAACACATGAAATTCTTTACATTACAACAAATACAGAAACATGAAACGGATGAAATATAACTTCATCATTATCCTTACAAACACTATAACAATTAACACACAACTAGTCTACTGAAACACAACAGTCCTCTTCACTCCTCCATTGTTGAATATCCATTTCATGATTCTGACAGATTTGTTGACCCTCCTTGACCAGGATTCTTTGAATAAGAATGTGTAGTTAGTCCAAACACATATATGTTATAGTAACATAATTGATGTATAAAGTAATGGTCTTTCTTACATTCGTCCAAGTATGCCCCTCCTCATCAACAATTACACCATATCCCACAGGAAGATGCCCTCTTCCTCTTCCTCTTCCACCCCTAACCACTTTGTTTCCACCTCTACTCACCCCTCTACCAGGAATTACCCTTCCTCTTCGACCAATTCTTGATGGAACAGCTGGTGTTGTGTGACTGCTAGAGGTAGATGCATCCTGGATCTGTTTTCTTGGTCTTCCCCTACTCCTCTTAGACTGAGGCTCAACACACTTGTTTTTGTCAGGGCATTTTCTCTTATTGTGGCTCTTACTTTTGCAAATACTACATGACATTTCAACCCCATGCCTAGTCAATTTCCCAGGTTTCTTTGGGTTCATGTGCAGGTTTAATCCTGTTTTTTCCTGGTATGCTAGGGCTAATTTTTATGGGAGGGGGGTCCAAAGGGAAGTCAACTTTTGGCTAGTGCCTTTCTCCAGTTAATGGGGCAATGCCACCAGAGTACATTTTCATATATGCCTCTCTACTATAGCACTGATGAACACAATCCTCACGGGCTGCATTGATAAAGAACATATAAGACACTGCGTGACAGCATTGAATACCACTAAGGTCCCACTTTCTGCAAGTACAACTCTGACTTTCCAAGTTCACATTCAATGTATCTAAATAATGGCTAACCTGAAACGACACTTCACTAGATGGTAGAGGGGTACATTGGGTTGCATGATGTTTTTCTTTCTCTAATCTGCTCATAATTCTAGGACAGATCACAACCAAACTTTTTTCCATAGCCTACCTTTTCATCACCATTCTTTGCATCAAGGAACCCCTAATATCTTCTAGCATAAATATAATATGCTTGGCTCTAGCATTGATTATGTAGCCATTAAATGTTTCAGCCATGTTGCTGACAATGACATCACACTGATTATTTCTCCTAATATAGGCTCTACAAAATACACGGGGATTACATGCCTTGAAAGCAACCACAACACTTGGACTTACCTTTTCCATTTCATCTAGTGCATCATGTAAATCAGCTTCATTGTAGGCCTTCACAGCTTTCCAGAATATCATTTTTAATTCATCGCCCTTATGTGTCTTGTGCCAATTAGAAAAAACATGGCATGCACAGTGTCTATGTTCTGCCAGTGGGAACACTACTGAAACTGCACGCAATATAGACTGCCATAATGAATTAAGTATTAGATCACTTCCATGTGAAATGAATGAAAAGTTAAAAGTGTACAAAGCTTACCTGGTGTTCATCTGAAATAAAACTCAGGTCAGAACCATCAGACTCTCCTACTGTCACGCCCCGGACCTATCTGGACACGTCAACAATCCGCCGTACAATATGAATAGTCAACCGCAGTCTAACTCATCCATATTATACAAGGCGTCTCGAATATCATTCACACATAAGTCATTCATAAACATACATAATAAGCAATTCAATACGCTGCGGAAAACATAGTTTAAAAACAAATGCCACACGGGGCAAACATGAGCATGCAGGCTCTATAGTGAAAATATCCATGAACATGTTTATTAATGTTCAAAACAGAATGGAGAAAGCACGAACCAAGTCTTCTCTCCAAGGTGATCACTCGAGCAACGAGCACAGGAAGCAAGCTCTAGCCTCAACCAGAAATGGTGGTGGGACGCCCCCGAAGGGGTCAGCACTCTATAGGGCTATAAAGTGCTGGTGTGGATGGCATCTAATAGATATACAACAAGTATTTCAAACACAAGACCCTCAAATAGGGTGATAATATAATCTAGGCCGTAACCCCAAGTTACCCCTTTTCAAAATATATTTACTTTATATATAAAGTCAAGTAGTCGGCCCGTAGGCCCAAGATTTATTTACAAAACATAACCCAAACCCCGTGACCCCTAGTCACGACAATGCATAGGGTTCAACCCTAACACGTATGTTTGCATTTCTCGAGTCCAACTTGACTACATCACCATTCACATCAATCACAAGTTAATCACTTCACCAATCTCCAATGTCATGTTCACCCATGCAATTCTAGAGCATCAGGCTCAAGTACATCTCCTTACATGGGCTGAACCTAAACCTTATGTCTACCAGTTAATTACTCCACTAATCTCCAGTGTCATGTTCACCCATGCAATTCTAGAGCATCGAGCTCAAGTACATCTCCTTACATGGGCTGAACCTAAACCTTATGTCTACCCAATGCAATTCTAGAGCATCGGGCTCAAGTACATCTCCTTACATTGGCATAGACCCCCAATTCCTAAGCACTCACTATGCCTAGAATTGTAATATCAATAATCTATTTTGGGACATCCTTACGGACTGCCTCATCATGATCTTACATCATATTACGTCAATTTAGTCACTTGAACCACAATCAAGTACATCACTTACAATCAAATCCTTAGATTCAATTCCTTAACAATTACAAACAATCATTAACTAGTATTACAATACTATTAAGATTATTCCCATCAATCATATATTTCATTTGTAAATCCCTGCATATTTAGAGATATGTAGCATCAACTTAATCATTCAATGTAATAAATAAATAATCATTTATGTATCTACACAATTCACACATGAGTAAAAATGCCTATTTCACACAATAGTTCATTTAACTCCATTTTTATCAATATGATTTCAAATCATTTGCAATTTCATTCCTTATCTAGTATATCAATATTTTATCAATAATCAGTCATTATAATCCATGAAAAACATGATTTAGGCATTTAGGTAATCTCATGCTTAACCTACAAGTTGTAAGCAACTAGATGTCGATCCTCACCTCAAATAAGCTTTAAATTGTTCCATCTCAACCCAATGCTCAAGCTTCGGCCAAGGGGGTTTGAGAATTGATTCCTTGCTTATAAATGAGTTTTAAACAGCCTTCTGAAGGTGCTAGCTCAACTCCTAACTGAATACACGAAAACAGCCCCTAGAACGGGTGTTTTCCGGTGAATTCGTTCCCTAACCTTTCAAGGTTTTGTCTATGTTAGTATCTAACCTTTCCAACGAATAAAATCACTTAATAACAACATTTTATACACCTCAACCAATGTACAATAGTTCTTCAATCATTTATATGATTTAGACAATAGAAAGGACGGTTTTGGATTCAATTACTTTGAATACAAAATCATATTCCGCGAGTTTGTGTTTTGTTCGAACGAATTGGGGGCCTTAAACTGATCCGTTTTCTTCAAACCGCACGTTTATGGATTCCTCTTTTCGAGAGCTTTCAGTGGCCACCTCACCCGCCTTAATTGGATGAGTAAAATGCATATACGAGTCGAACAAGGAGACATACACACTGGATGACTAATCCTGCGGACAGCTCTCTCTTGCCTTTCTTTGGTTGTGAGGCTCTCTGCTTCCCCTTATCTTCAAAAGTCCGAATGGGGGGTTGGGGAGATGTGTATAAGACCCCTCAAATAAGTTGGGTAGGTTGTGTGGAGTGAAATGAATTGATATGGACTCCATGAGTTGTATTTGGCATGTGTGGGTCTCCTTCCTTGATTTCTTTTGTCAAGTTCAGCTCCAAGTCATTTATGTCCGACCCCCTCCCCCATTCTAACATTATCGTACTTATTTTGCAGGTGAAAGGAAGGTGTGGGGTGCACTCTTATGTCCTCTAATTAATCTGGGAGCAAAATATCTATCAATACTTCCAAAAGTGGGAAGATCAAGTCATAAGATGTACTTTTGTACTATCCCCAATTTTTTTAGATCAAGTCAACCTTCTGCATCATATTATTGATCTCTAATATGTGTAGGGTGGTCCCAATAATTTATTTGATGTATAATTATAAAAGAAACCCCTACTCCCATTATTTAGCCTAATAATGTCAAAGATAGGACCATAGGCATTTGTATTCTTCTCCAATCATTCCATCACTCATTTATGACATTAATATTTATATATCTGGGCTACCAACCGTGTGGGTCACCCTCCAATGGGTCTAGGACGACATTCTTGAATAATTACTATTTTAGCAGGTTAGGCCCAAAATAACATTTGGGCTGCCCGACCGCTCTTACATTGTACCGAGGGGTTGTATATCTTTATTTCAGAATGTTGGGCTCCAATATCAATAATATGGTCCAATTAATTATTTAGAAGTCCATTACCATTATATGAGGTCAAATAGTAATATGATTAATCATACGTTCCGTAAAACTTTAATCGTTTTACAATTGTTCGAAAATAGGGAAATTCAATACATAAGCTTTGAAATTAAATTTGAATTTCAAGGACGTTCGGGTGCGGTGTAACAAGTTCACCCCCCTTAACAGGAATTTCTTCTCTGAAATTCACGATGCTACTCAAATAGGAAAGCGTATTGCTCCCTCATCAAAGCTTCCGTTTCCCATGTTTCTTCCTCAACTCGGTCACTTTTCCAAAGAACTTTAACCATTGGAACTTCTTTACTCCTCAATTTCTTTACCCTTTTATCGGTGATCTTGATCGGTAGTACCATCGGCTTTTCCATTACATGCGAAGGATCATGTACCTACTTCTTCAGCATAGATACGTGGAACACATTGTGTATCTTCTCTAACTCTGGAGTCAACTGTAGACGATATGCTACGGCCCCATTTCTCTCCAGAATTCTGAACGGCCCTATGTAGCGTGGATTAAGCTTCCCTCGGCTTTGGAATCGAATGATTCCTTTCCAAGGAGAAACTTCCAGGAATACCTCGTCATTAACCTTAAACTCTAAGGTTCTCCATCGCTTATCTGCATAACTCTTCTGTCTATCCTGAGCTGCTTTGAGTCTTTTTCGAATCAACTTCACCTTTGACTTGGTGATCTCAACCAACTCATTACTCTCGAGTTTGGCCATGCCAACCGTGTCCCAGCATAACGGTGTACGACACCTCCTCCCATACAATGCTTCGTATGGAGGCATGCCGATACTTGCCTGATAACTGTTGTTATAGGCAAACTCCACAAGTGATAAGTGATTGTCCCAACTCCCTTGAAACTCCAATGCACAAGCTCTCAACATATCTTCTAAGGTCTGAATAACCCTTTCAGAATGCCCATCCGTCTGTGGATGGAACGCAGTACTGAACTTCAACCTCGTTCCCATAGACTCTTGAAATTTTGGCAAAAAACGTGACGTGAATCGTGGGTCTCTATCGGATATGATGGTCACTGTGACACCATGTAACCTCACAATCTCGTCCGTATACAATTTGGCTAACCTCTCGAGTGGGTAAGTGGTTTTGATAGGTAAAAAGTGTGCACTCTTCGTGAGCCTATCAACAACAACCCAAACTGCGTCATAGTTCCTGATCGTCCGTGGTAAGCCTACCACGAAATCCATAGTCACATGCTCTCACTTCCATTTAGGGATGGAAAGTGGCTGCAATAAGCGCGCTAAGTGCTGATGTTTTGCCTTAACTTGCTGACAAGTAAGGCACCGACTGATGTACTCTGCTATTTCTCTTTTCATCCCAGACCACCAGTAGCTTTCTTTCAAATCTTCGTGCCTCTCGGGTGCATAGCATACGCCGATGAGTGAGCCTCCTCCAGAATGGACTTTCTGAGCTCATCATCCGATGGTACACACACTCGGTCACGAAATAATAGGAGACCATCGTCTCTCTCCCTGAAATCCTCAACCGGTCCCGCTAATATGCGTTCTCGGACCTTCTTGAGTTCATCATCTAGTCCCTGTACCTTCTTGACCTCATCAAGTAAGGTAGGTCCCACCTCAAATCTCACCACTAAGACACCATTAGTAGGTACTTCCTATTGAGCTCTCAATGCTCTCAAGTTGGTTATCAATGCCCCCGATGAACTCTTCCGACTAAGGGCATTAGCCACACCATTTGCTTTTCCTGGATGGTAGTCACTATGTGGTAGTCCTTTATCAACTCCATACACCGTCATTGTCTCATGTTTAACTCTTTCTGAGTAAACACATACTTCACACTCTTGTGGTCAGTGTATATGTGACACGTCTCTCCGTAGAGATAATACCTCCATATCCTTAGTACAAAAACCACTGCTCCCAATTCTAACTCATGAGTAGGGTACTTTACCTCGTGTTTCTTCAACTGTCGTGAAGCGTAGGCAATCACCCTCCCATTCTGCATCAATACACATCCAAGCCCTTGGATGCTCGCATCGCTATAGACATCGTACCCCATACCTTGTTCTGGTAAGGCGAATACTGGTGCCTCAGTCAACCTCTTCTTCAGTTCCAAGGATCCCTTCCCACATTGGTCATCCCATATGAACTTATCCCCCTTTCGAGTGAGCTTCGTCAATGGTGATGCTAAAACTGAGAACTTTTCCACGAACATCAATTCCCATGGTAACCTGCCAATCCAAGGAAACTACGAATTTCCTTCACGTTCTTTGGCCTCTCCCATTCGGTAATGGCCTCAATATTCTTGTTATCAACTACAGTTCCCGATCCCGAAACTACATGCCCGAGGAAGCCAATCTCTCTTAGCTAAAATTCACACTTAGAAAATTTAGCATAGAGTTGTTTCTCCCGTAGTGTCTCAAGAACAAGTATTAAGTGCTCCTCATGCTCTTCTTCACTCTTCGAGTAAATCAAGGTGTCATCTATGAACACAATTACAAACCGATCCAAGTATTTCTGAAATACTCGATTCATCAAGTCCATGAATGCCGCCGGGGCATTTGTTAGCCCAAATGACATGACTAGGAACTCGAAGTGACCACATCTTGTGCGGGAAGCACTCTTCGGTATGTCATCCTCCTTTATTTTCGATGGATGGTACTCCGACATCGAGTCCATCTTTGAAAACATTGTTTCTCCTAGCAGCTGATCAAACAAGTCATCAATCCTAGGTAAAGGATACATATTCTTGATCGTGACCTTGTTCTGTTGATGATAGTCAATACACATGCGTAAAGTCTCACCCTTTTTTCACCAATAGAACCGGTGCTCCCCACGGGGAGTAGCTCGGCCTAATGAAACCGTTATCCAAGAGCTCTTGCAATTGGGTTTTCAATCATTAAGTTCTGCACGTGCCATTCGGTACGGTGGTATAGAAGAGATTGGTTTGGTGTCGGGCTCAACCTCGATCACAAATTCAATCTCTCTATCGGGTGGAAGCCCCGGTAGGTCTTTAGGGAAGACATCCGGGTACTTACAAACTACCCTTACATCGTCGAGGTTCGGTTCCTCTTTAGTTTTTTCTACCACGTATGCTAGATATGTGTGGCATCCCTTTCTCATCATACTCCTTGCTCTCATGGCGGATATGATGCAACTATTTGATTTGCCTCGATCACCCTCGAAGTGTAGGGCATTCCCATCATTGCCTTCGAGTTCTAGAACCTTCGTGTAGCAATCTACCCTAGCATGGTGCTTTTCTAGCCAATCCATCCCTAGGATCGCATCAAAATCAATCATGCTCAGCAGTACGAAATCACACGTCAAGGTTTGGCCATCGACTTCCACCTCACAAGATGGATAATAACAAGTTCTCTCAACGTCATCTCCTAGTGGTGTTGATACCACTAGAGTTTGTGTCATCCGTATCGAGTGTATATCTAAGTCCTAGGCGAACGTCTCACTCATGAATGAACGTTGCGCCCCGGTATTATAAAGGTTCGTGCACTTCTCCCATTAATCCTTAGTGTTCCTTCATTTATGAGTCATGTAAGATACCTTCCTACCATCTATATACATTTATATAGGTTTATTATGTTCATGCACATGTTTGGGATCAAGGAGAGGTCTTAACATCGCAATTCGGTGCGAAAAATCAACGTCTGGCAGTCTGGGTGTCACACACGCATGCGTGGGGGGGACGCACGCGTGTGTGCAGGAAAATTCTTCCCTGGATGGCTACTGCCACCCATGCACAGAGGGATGCACGGGGGTACGCATGGAGTGACGCACGCGTGCGTCCGGGTACGCACAGCCGTGCGTGGGCAAAATTTGAATTCGAAAGCCCACTGCCTCCCACGCACGGAGGCACGCACTCGTGCGTCCGGCCGTGTGTGGGAAAAATTTTGTCCATTCCATGCGAAACCTCCCGGTTTTCCCCCGGGATGACCCGCACTCAACCCCCGCAACTTCCCTTACCCAAAATAAGTCTAAAGACATTCAAAATCTGATGTAATACCTGCGACAGAATCCGAGTTAGCTTGAGCATCCGCCTCCGTCACTGTATAGACTCTGGCTTGAGTCCTTCCTTGGTTCACGGACGGCACGTTACTCGCGCTTGCTCCCCCTTGTCCCCTGGATGCTTGGGAAGCCCCGGCTTCCGTGCCCTGGTAGTAGCACTACTTGGTCCCGATGCGCTTGCTACACCCAGTTGTGGGCAATTCATCTTCATGTGCCCGGTGTTCCCGCATTGGTAGCATATACGAGGGTCACGACATTTTCCCAGGTGGTGCTTCTTGCAATTGCTGCACTTAGTTGCTCTCGAACCTTTTGCCCTCCTAGAATGTCCTTGGGAGTCGTCTCCCCATTTCCTTTTCCTTAGTAAGAGTACGTCTCTAGCTTGCTTAGCTTGACGTCTTTGTATAAACCTCATACGTTCATGCTGAAGCCAGTCTATGACCATGCCCATTTTTTCTATGGGCGCACTATCAACGTCATCATCACTATGACCATCTACTCCCTCACTCGACGCCTCGAGTGGTTCTGTGTCACCCTGACGAGATGACTCTTTCTTGGTGTCAACACGACCATCATTTACGATTTGAGCTTCTAGAATTTCGTGAACCTTTGGTATTAAGGACTCTTTTCGGTTGGCATGCCCGGTTCCACCTGGTGCAAACCCTCCTGAGGTCTCCCTTTCCTTAATTCCATCGTCGCACCCCATTGCTGAAAGAAATATTTGGAATGAGTCATTAGACTCATTTCGAATGTCAACTGACAGAAGGCACTTAAGACATCTCTTGGGCCAAGTCACCGCCATACCAATCGTTAAGGATGTCATCTTAACAATTAGAGGCCTTGCAACTCAAACACCAAAAGTTCTCAAGTATGAAACATTTCCTATGCTCATGGTTTTCAAAAATCATTTTGAAAAAGAGAATTTGGAGACTTCATTATGAAGTTTATAGACAAAGGCTCTGATGCCAATTATATTGTCACGCCCCGGACCTATCCGGACACGTCAACAATCCGCCGTACAATATGAATAGTCAACCGCAGTCTAACTCATCCATATTATACAAGGCATCTCGAATATCATTCACACATAAATCATCCATAAACATACATAATAAGCGATTCAATACGCAGCGGAAAACATAGTTTAAAAACAAATGCCACACGGGGCAAACATGAGCACGCAGGCTCTATAGTGAAAATATCCATGAGCATGTTTATTAATGTTCAAAACAGAATGGAGAAAGCACGAATCAAGTCTTCTCTCCAAGGTGATCACTCGAGCAACGAGCACAGGAAGCAAGCTCTAGCCTCAACTTGAAATGGTGGTGGGATGCCCCCGAAGGGGTCAACACTCTATAGGGCTATAAAGTGTTGGTGTGGATGGCATCTAATAGATATACAACAAGTATTTCAAACACAAGACCCTCAAATAGGGTGATAATATAATCTAGGCCGTAACCCGAAATTACCCCTTTTCAAAATATACTTACTTTATATATAAAGTCAAGTAGTCGGCCCGTAGGCCAAAAATTTATTTACAAAACATAACCCAACCCCCGTGACCCCTAGTGATGACAATACATAGGGTTCAAACCTAACACGTATGTTTCCATTTCTCGAGTCCAACTCGACTACATCACCATTCACATCAATCACAAGTTAATCACTTCACCAATCTCCAATGTCATGTTCACCCATGCAATTCTAGAGCATCGGGCTCAAATACATCTCCTTACATGGGCTGAACTTAAACCTTATGTCTACCAGTTAATTACTCCACCAATCTTCAGTGTCATGTTCACCCATGCAATTCTAGAGCATTGGGCTCAAGTACATCTCCTTACATGGGCTGAACCTAAACCTTATGTCTACCCAATGCAATTCTAGAGCATCGGGCTCAAGTACATCTCCTTACATTGGCATAGACCCCCAATTCCTAAGCACTCGCTAGGCCTAGAATTGTAATATCAATAATCTATTTTGGGACATCCTTACGGACTGCCTCATCATGATCTTACATCATATTACGTCAATTTAGTCACTTGAACCACAATCAAGTACATCACTTACAATCAAATCCTTGGATTTAATTCCTTAACAATTACAAACAATCATTAACTAGTATTTCAATACTATTAAGATTATTCCCATCACTCATATATTTCATTTGTAAATCCCTACATATTTAGAGATATGTAGCAGCAACTTAATCATACAATGTAATACATAAATAATCATTTATGTATCTACACAATTCACACATGAGTAAAAATGCTTATTTCACACAATAGTTCATTTAACTCCATTTTTATCAATATGATTTCAAATCATTCGAAATTCCATTCCTTATCTAGTATATCAATATTTCATCAATAATCAGTCATTATAATCCAGGAAAAACATGATTTAGGCATTTAGGTAATCTCATGCTTAACCTACAAGTTGTAAGCAACTAGATGTCGATCCTCACCTCAAATGAGCTTTAAATGGTTCTTTCTCAACCGAATGATCAAGCTTCAGCCAAGGGGGTTTGAGAATTGATTCATTTCTTATAAATGGGTGTTAAACAGCCTCCTCAAGGTGCTAGCTCAACTCCTAACTGAAGACACGAAAACAGCCCCTAGAACGGGTGTTTTCCGGCGAATTCGTTCCCTAACCTTTCAAAGTTTTGTTTAGGTTAGTATCTAACCTTTCCAACGAATAAAATCACTTCATAAAAAAATTTTATACACCTCAACCAGTTTACAATAGTTTCTCAATCATTTATATGATTTAGACAATAGAAAGGAAGGTTTTGGATTCAACTTACTTTGAATACAAAATCTTATTCCGCGGAGTTGTGTTTTGTTCGAACGATTTGGAGGCCTTAAACTGCTCCCTTTTCTTCAAACCTCACGTCTATGGATTCCTCTTTTCGATATATTTCAGTGGGAACCTAACCCTCCTTAATTGGATGAGTAAAACTCCAGATACGAGTCGAACAAGGAGACCTACGCACTGGATGACTAATCCTGCGGACAGCTCTCTCTCTTTCCTTTCTTTGATTGTGAGGCTCTCTCCTTCCCCCTTATCTTCAAGAGTACGAATGGTGGGTTAGGGAGAGTTGTCTAAGCCCCCTCAAATAAGTTGGGTAGGTTGTGTGGAGTGAAATGAATTGATATGGACTCCATGAGATGTATTTGGCATGTGTGGGTCTCCTTCCTTGATTTCTTTTGTCAAGTTCAGCTCCAAGTCAATTATGTCCGACCCCCTCCCCCATTCTAACATTATTGTATTTATCTTGCAGGTGCAAGGAAGGTGTGGGGAGCACTCTTATGTCCCTTAATTAATTTGGGAGCAAAATATCTATCAATACTTCCAAAAGTGGGAAGATGGGTCCTATTGTTTTTTGTCTTTTGTCATAAGATGTACTTTTGTACTCTCCCCAATTTATTTAGATCAAGTCAACCTTCTACATCATATTATTGATCTCTAATATGTGTAGGGTGGTCCCAATAATTTATTTGATGTATAATTACAAAAGAAAACCCTACTCCCATTATTTAGCCTAATAATGTCAAAGATGGGACCATAGGCATTTGTATTCCTCTCCAATCATTCCATCACTCATTTATGACATTAATATTTATATATCTGGGCTACCAACCGTGTGGGTCACCCTCCAATGGGTCTAGGACGACATTCTTGAATAATTACTATTTTTAGCAGGTTAGGCCCAAAATAACATTTGAGCTGCCCGACCGCTCTTACATTGTACCGAGGGGTTGTATATTTTTATTTAAGAATGTTGGACCCCAATATCAATAATATGGTCCAATTAATTATTTAGAAGTCCATTACCATTATATGAGCCCAAATAGTAATATGATTAATCATACGTTCCGTAAAACTTTAATCGTTTTACAATTGTTCGAAAATAGGGAAATTCAATACATAAGCTTTGAAATTAAATTTGAATTTCAGGGACGTTCGGGTGCGATGTCACACCTACATTTTTCTTCAATCAGACATAAACCACTCCCAACTACAGTTTTTTTCACGTTCTACTATTGCCCATGCTAATGGGAACATCTGCTCATTAGAGTCTCTCCCAACATCAGACAGAAGCATCCCTCCTAGAAACGTTTTGATGAAGCACCCATCCATGCACAAAACTTTCCTACCAGCACTCAACCACCCATGTTTAATCCCATTGAAGCATACAAAGAAACGCTGGAAGGTGGGGGGAAAGCTTTGAGGTTTAGGGTCTGTGAGCAATTTAAAGTGGGTGAGGGGGTTAGCTTGGTTTAAGGCTTCCAAATATCTTCCTAGCTTATTATAGTGATCTTTCATGCTACCATGGAGCTTCCTGTGTGTATGGTATTTCACTTTGTATGCATAGTCCCTTTTAACAAGAACTTTATAACCTCTCCTAATGGTCTCAATTATTTCTTTTGATGGCCAGTGAGGTCTATACTTAAATACTTCTAGGAATTGCCCAGCCACCCATGAAGCCTTCAATTGCCCATTCTTTTTCATGTTCCTATTACAACTATGCTCCCCTTTCACAGACTTCACCACAAAACTAGCCCTCCTACTATCCCAACTTGCATACAACCTAAAAGGACAACCCTCAACACATTTTGCACCAACCTTTTGTTGTCTACCCTGACTACTAACATTGATCTGGAGATTCCTGCCTTGAGATATTGCAAACCTAGCAATTGCATCCTAAAATTGTTCTCTATTTTCAAATCGCATACCAACCTGCCACACCAACTTATTGAAATATGTATGTGCATCCACCATAGCAACTCTATCTCTTCTCTTTCTTGGGAGACTATCTTCATTATCACTTTCCACATGTGTGTGGATATCTTCTTCAGATTCTTCATATTCACTAACAAAATCATTATGATCTGAATCACCTTCATCGGTACACCCTGTAGATGAGGCTTTTTTAACCCCTACCACACCTTGAACATCTTCCTTTTCAAGTTGTTTTGCAATGTCAACAACCTTTAAATTCCACCCTGTAACTCTTCTTCTAGACTCCATGAATTCTTCATCACTTGTGTCATCATCTGACCCAAACAATGGGACCTCTAGCTCCTCTTCAGCTTCCATTTCAACATCTCCATCTTCTTCATTATGGTCTGAATCAACATTATAATCATCATTAGAAGGGTCAGAAGCATTTACATCACAACTCTTTGTTTCATCACCACTACCTCCTTGGGTAGCTTGTGCAGCAGTACCTCTTTCATTTGTGTGGGTTTTCCCACTCCCTTCCAGCAGCCCTACAAGTTCAGGTGTACTGACTCCATGTTTAATGTACAAATCTATAGTACTACATTGCAGTACTACATTATACATTTCTCTCACCTCAGCATCAAACTTAACACTTCTCAAACCTGTCTCCAATGTCTTACCAGGGACCAAGTAATAGGTTTCATCTATGCTACTATATTTCCCACACTTGCCAGCTAACTCCTCTAACCAGAACCAACATAGTTCATCAGCATCCAAATCAAAACATCTAAACTGACCACCAGCATACTCTAAATTCCCATTACTATCCTTCTTAAATGTACCTCCATGCCACATCTTCAAAGTAACCACGGTATTTAAAGCCATCCCCTTTTCTTTAATTTACAACCTAAAATAAGAACACAAAAAGGAAATGCATTTAAAATAGTAGAAATAACGGTGTACGTCATGCATTACTTAGTTATTTTTTTAAAATATGACTACCTCAACCGGTCACAGGTCACCGCAGTGTAATAACGGAAGACATCCCACTAAGTTGGGATTAAACAGAAATAACGCGTACTACGGATTATTAGAAGCGGACGGCTAATAGTTCGAATTATTCCAGTCAAATTTTCCTAAAAATTATTTACACAAATATGACAAACAGTTTCTATAATATGGTTCTATGTCAACTTAAATTACAAATTTAAAATAAGTTACTATGATTTCATTACTACTTTAGTCTCTAGTCACATTTTTATAATATGTAATTATTTCAAATTAGGTCACATACAATTCAGATTTATTTGTAAAATATATTCGAAAAAATCATTAACTACACGTATAATTATTATATCTATGTACAACTATTATCTTTGTGGGAATTTTCTATTTCAAAATTCATATTCATTCACACACACGATTAAAATTGGTCACAAAGACAGCTATTATCTTTTGACAACTTTTGTTTGCACGCATAAGCAATAGTCAAGTGGAGAATGCCAATTGAATCAATTTAGAAGAGCTAAAAAGAAACTCACTATCGAGGGTGACATATATGTCAAAAAAATGTCAAACATCTTTTGGGCGTACAAAACAACACTTAGGAATGCGATCGAGAGAACTCTTATGGTCCCAAGTGAGGTAGAAGTCTAGGGGGGTGAATAGACTTCTAAAAATCTTTTCTTTTCAACCCTTTTTCCTCTAACAGAATATGTTCCAATATCTTTTGGGAGACATTGAAACATACAGCAGAAGTCTTGACCTCAAGAGTGTGACACTTTATAGGAACAAAGGTTATGACTCTTTTAGTTGTAACAGAGATGGGTGGACATAACACTTTTTGTGTGAAGGATTTAGACCTATTGTCATATATCTCTTTGTAGTGCGTAGGTAAGGAGTTTTTGGTTCACAGAAAACTTTAGGGAGTTTTCTGGTCAGTGAATATGCAAGCCTTTGGGATAGTATGAAGGTGAGTGAGAACTGAAGTATGTGTTGGGTGCTGAATATAAAAGGTACACAAGATATATCCTGGTTCAGAGGTGGTGTAATCCTCCTACATCCAGTCCCAACCTATTTCAGATGGATTTTCCACTAAATGAATATCCCATTACATTTAGTGCCCAATCTACCCCTGGCCCGGGCGTAGATTGTGAGGTTTTTCACGAGGAACCACAATGTTCCATGCTACTCATGTCCTCCAAGGTTTTTCACTAATGGCTTGCCCAGCCAGAAGCTACTCATGTCCTTGCCTCACCTTCTGGATGATCACACACATCCCATAATGTATACACTAGACTAGTTTACATGGGTTTAAACCAATCTACCAACTAATCTAAGCTCTATAGATGTGTATGAATGATAAGCTATTCTAAGAGCATTAGATGAGTGGGGTGGTAGCCTGAGTGGTGAAGGTGAATCAACTAGTTGGATGTTTTCTTGTAAACCTTGATTCCCTTCTTTTCCACTTGGTTCCAATATACCAGGGTTTGTTGCCATCTGGTGCCACACTTGGTCTTCCCGCACTCCTTCTGTATTTATAGACTTTGTTGTTGAATCTCCTCTGTTGGCTGAGTGATCCAATCTTGATCATTGCTTGATCTACTTGCTTTGTTCCACTTGACTGGGCAGCATGGTTGATTCTTGTCTTCTTGTGACACGGATCATTTTATCTTCACTCAACTTGATTCCTCATTTCAAGGCAAAGATAAGATGATTTATCTTTATCTTTTTAGCTTTCAGAAATTCAGTATCTAGGCCGAGTGTTGTTCAATGCATTCCTCAAGATAAGATTACTTGCTTATAAGAAATTTTGTCACATAATTTCTTGTAACATTATTTTCTATGCATTCTGTCATTCTAACTGCAAGTTGGTCTTCTGTCTTTTTGTTTCTGTGCTAAGAGAAGAACAGCAGATGTTGAGATTCTGATCAGAATACCTCAATAGAATACCTTACCAGAATACCTATGAGATCTTCTGTTCTGGTGTCAACAGAGAACTACCTTTGTTTGAGGTTCTCTGTTACGATCACGACAGAAGGTCTTCTGGTATATATCAGAGACCTTAACTTTGGTGTTTACCAGAGTTGATCAGTTCTGATGTCCATCAGAGTTG